GACCCAGGCTCTAACCTCACATTTACACAAACCAACGCCCCCTCTCCATTTTTTTTTTTAAATCAGCTCCCCAGTTCTCTGCAATATTGAGGAAATAGGGAGGAAATTCCGTGGGTTTACAAACAGGCGAGAGCCTTTTTTGTGCACTGAGCCCTACAAACGACTACTCTGCCATGTCAGACTTTTTCCTCTGACAAGCCATGCCCTGCAGGCAGCAGTCAGAATGTGTTTTCACAGAACAGCTCCCGCTGCGGACACGCACCTCAGCGATTCACAGTTTCCGAGTTCCGGTGGCACCTGGAGGAGGTCGTTGTTCTGCAGGTCCAGCGTTCCCAGCTTCTCCATCCCCTTCAGCTGCAGAGGGTCGATGGAGCCGACCTGGTTGTTGCTGAGCAGGACAGTCTCCAGCGCCACGATGCGATAAAGGACGCCGGGAAAGACTTTAAACCTTCAGGAAGGGAACGGAGGCAAACCAGTGAGAGTCGGAAACGGGGCATTCAAACAATGGGCAGCCTTGAAAATCACACAGCATTTCAGGTCAGCGTTTGAACACGCTGCTCTGAAAGGAGGCCGCAGCCATTACGGATGCCAGAGGGTACTCTGGCCGTACCCATTTTTTGACACACCATTCACAAGGCCATTTAATCCCTTTTTTAGCCAGTTGCTACTGTCTCTCTCCAAAACTTCTGCAGCAGAAAGTTCCAAAAACACACTACCCATTGTGTAGAGACATGGACTCTGCCTGTTTTCAGCTCATAGCTCGCTGATCCGGTGCCTCCTCCTTCTTATATCACAGGAAAATCACACTGAATTCAGCCCAGTTCTTCTCATTATTGTATAAAAAAATAATCTAAATAGTTGCTTACCTATTAAAAGAAAGATTTATTATTTGCAGTCTTGTCAGTGCCTCCATTTCGTCAGGTAAAGATGTCAAAAAGTTGTTTCTGTGTATCAAACGAAGACCAACAATAATCACTAACTTCTACGCAGTCTTAGTTAAGAATCCAGAGACAGAACAGGCACATTTATCAGGGTTACCATGCTGTCTTAGAGCAATTAATTGCTTCATAAATGGGTAAAGACCACGCTGAAGTGCAGCTGCCTGCTAATGCAAGCCAGGCTTGCATGCTCACTGCCGCCAGCAGACTGAAGTCTGTCCTCTGAAGACTCCCAAGTGTTTCAAAGCACCTAACAACCCCACAAACCCGCCCGGCAGCTCAGCGCCCTGGGTCTCGGAGGAGAGCTCACGAACCTCCCCAGATGCTGGTGCCAGAGCGAATCAGCAGGATGACTCCACACCTCCTCAAAACTCATTTTGGCTGGTAGCCAGCTGCTGTAATAAACTCATTTCTGGCTACTGTTCCCCTAATGTTTCCCACGACAGGCAGCCGTTCAGCAGCTTCTCAAACACATGGAAGACAGGGGTTTGTAAGGACAAACCAGGTATTCCCTGAGCGTGACACAAAGAGCCATTACAGGAAAATAAAGACCACTCACTAAAAGATGCCCAGGCTTGGAGCTAAACTAACCACCAAGATGCTCAGCCTCGTCCCCTCAGCATCTCCCACTGTTACCCATTTCTGCAGTCTTCAGCCCAGCTCCTCCACCAGCAGCACGTATGCCAGGCTGTGTCACAGGCTGCTTCAGGCCGGCAGGGAGCCCGGAGCTCGTCTGGTCCAACCCAGAGAGCCTGCTACGTCTGAGGCAAGACCTTTCACCTCAGCAAGCCTGAGAGCTCGACCGTTTGGGGTTTGCGTTTTTCTTTAACCGATGCCTGAATCTAGGCCGCCTGCTATTTCAGACCTGCGGGTCGACTGTCGTGGAAGTGAAATTTTGGGAAATGAAAAACTGTTTCAGTGCTGCTATTCCACCGTCACAGATGGCTGGTTTAAAACGGCACGAAAATAAGTTACCGAGAAAGCAAGCCCAACGCATGTCACAAACCTGATATCCAAATGTGTCAATTTATGGAGCATGCACAGCTCCAAGGAAACAGATGAGATTTTATTGAAGCCGAGGTTGACGTCACAAACCGAGTCCTTCAGCTCCACAATCCTGAAACCCAATATGAATATACTTTTATTATGCAAGCTCATGTCTGCATTCTGTTTTCTAAGTTACTGAAAAAAAAACCCGCTTCATTCTACAAATCAGAGACAAGAAGTTGGCTGTTGAATCCTTGTAACAGAATCTCTGTTTTAGCCCTAGGAACAAAAGGTAATTAAATGAGAAAACACTCATCCCTCCTGTCTGGATTGGCACCGAATCCTCTGGCACCCAGCAGCTGCACGCCTACACCCTCCTCCTCAGCGAATGCAACAGCCTCCAACACAGCGAAGAAGCATGGGAGGCACAGGCATTATCTCACTAAATTGATTTTCTATAAATTGTACTGAAAAGAGATTTTTTTCCCCTATGAGAAAGAGATTGCACCTCTTGAAGCTCTATGTGCTGAAGGTTGCATGTTCAGCACGCTTGGGTCCAAGCATGGAAATCAGTTACCCCCACAAATGTGGTGCTATCCTTAAAAACCAGCTTTCAGGATTTTCTTGGGCTGCTAGAGATGCAATAACCTTCCTCCTTACACAAAAAGACTATTTCTTCCCATTAGTGGGATAACACTTTAGTGTTGATAACACGACAGAAAGCTTCTCCTTGCCTGTGGGTGAAGTCACAGGTGCCGTGTGATGGGACACAAAACCTACCAAGCAGAGGCATGGAAATTCTTCAGGCTTCCTTAAGAAAACCCACAAACAGTTGTGCTACCTGAAGCAACTGAATTTAAACAGAACCTCAGCTACAGCAGAAAGCCAGCACCCAAGAAAGTGGTGAATCCACGCACATGATCTCTACGTGGGGAAAAGGACTGCTTGTAGAGCAAACATTACTACACTGGAGTGCAGGGCAGCACGTCATTACTACGAGAAGTCACCTCAGTCCCCCCTCATCCATCTCAACAATGCTGAGCAAAGCTCGATGAAAAAACAACGCGTAATGAAAGCACCACTGAGTAGAGCCAAGTGTCTTTTCACTGCAAGCATCACGCTAATCAGTGAACCCACCCGCACGCTACTCGTAGGAGAAACGCAGTGCACTGCTCAGCGTCTCCACTGCGCCTTCATTTGTGCGTGAGCGTGCGCACAAACACACACAGCGTAAGCTGTAAACGTGCTTGATCAGCAAAACACAAGGCACTGAGGAAGAGAAGTAGACAAGAAAAAGTAACAAACAGAGAGCGACCCTTGCAGCAGTACCTTGGAGGAATTTCACGCAGCTGGTTTCTGCTGAAGTTGACGGTGGCGACAGGATTGGTTCCGACTGCGTTGAACATCTCGTCCGGAATCACGGCCGCCTGCTTCTCACTAAACAGTGAAAAGCACTGAGCTGAGTAACACGAACAAGTTCACAGAATCACAGAATCACAGAATAGTAGGGGTTGGAAGGGACCTCTGTGGGTCACCCAGCCCAACCCTCCTGCCCAAGCAGGGTCACCCAGAGCAGGCTGCACAGCACCGCGTCCAGGCGGGGTTGGAATATCTCCAGAGAAGGAGATTCCACAACCTCCCTGGGCAGCCTGGGCCAGGGCTCCGTCACCCTCAGAGGGAAGAAGTTCTTCCTCATGTTCAGATGGAACTTCCTGTGCCTCAGTTTGTGCCCATTGCCCCTTGTCCTGTCACTGGGCACCACTGAAAAGAGCTTGGCCCCATCCTCCTGACACCCACCCTGCAGATATTTATAAGCATTTATTAGGTCCCCTCGCAGCCTTCTCTTCTCCAGGCTGAACAAGCCCAGTTCCCTCAGCCGCTCCTCGTAGGAGAGATGCTCCAGTCCCCTCATCATCCTCGTAGCCTTCCGCTGGACTCTCTCCAGTAGCTCTTCATCTTTCTTGAACTGGGGAGCACAGAACTGGACACAGTACTCTAGATGAGGCCTCACTA